TCAGATGCAGGGTAAAAACCAGCACCTGGGCTCTCCAATCTCTCCAATGTTTTAGTTTTTGAGGCTGATACCACTGCTCGCAAAGTGGTAAAGAGATGAGAAAGAACAGACAAGAAAGAAAGAAGTGTGCCAAAGATAGAGCACAGAGGCTGCAAATGGGTGAGGTGGAGGAAGTCAGATGGAAAATGAAGATGGGATAGAAAAATAATAAAGAGGAGATTGAAGTGGAGAGATTGACTGTCAGTTTTCTAGGTGAGGGGAAAAGAACTGCAACAGGACAATGGAAGAAACAAATCATTTATCAAAATTGTCATTGCTTTAGTTTGGTTGTTTTCTACAGGTCTAAAGGCACCCTCTCTCTCTCTCTGTTTGTGTGTGTGTTTTGGTGTGTAACAACAGACACCGAAACCACCCGCTTCGTTCGTTTCCACACCGCCGTTATCTCTGAAAATATGTCTGGAGGAATTTTCTTCTCATTTTGACAAGCAGATGATTTATGCAGCAGGGAGAGCTGCAGGGCTTCAGCGCACTGATTGCTGAGCTAGTGAAACAAACTCGGTGGCATTTAACAAACACACACACAAACATTCAGAGAGTCCTATAACACATAAAGCAGCTGACATTTTGGAAAAACGCAGCACAGTAGTTGATTCCTCTATAGAGGCAGAGTATTATCCCACTGCATAGAAGCTTTTTAAATGGCAATAATGACAGTGTGCCCAGCTCGGCCTTCTGCAGTGCAATTATTAGTTTAGAATCAGACTCGGTGACTCGTGAGGGAGCCACGCTCTGTGATAAATACTTTACAACATGCCATCAAAGATTTACAGCAAGGAGAAGATTTCCAACCACCAAGACGCTCCAAAAAGAGACCAAAGTGCGGATCCACAGAACATCTTCTTTAAACTCAAACAGTGAAATAGACCTCATTACTGCAGGGAAAAAACATTCATAGAACCTGTACTGTGTCTGGAGCTGCTCCAGCATTACAGATCACATGTAAGATAGGGTTTGTAGCATGTTTACTTAAAATGCTGGTTTTTGGCTTACCAACATAAAACTTTGAAGCAGCAAAATTCTTAAAATAACACATAATAATGTTTAAAATGTAAAGCAGAAAATCCTAACAGACTGAAGGATTACTGACCTCTCAGTCCATTACAGGCATTATGCCTGTAATGGACCGGGTGATCATTATAAGGACCATTGCTACAGCCGACAGTTATTACACCACTGTGCTACTACTCTAGAAAAGTGTGATAAGGTCTACCAGGTGGCCAGTAACCTGTCTAGTGTTAGATTAAGGGTTTTATTGGGTTTTGTTTTAGCAACATGCTAAATAGGCACATTTTCAGAAACTAGAAGATGTTGCATTTTCAATGAAGTTTCTGACTTTTAAAAAGGGGTGGTTGTTAAAGAAACCCTACCTCCAACCCTAACACATACTGGGTCGCCAATGTTAGGGAAGGTAGCACCAGCAGGTAGGCTGCTTCAGTCATTCACATTCAGTTCAGATGCCCCTGTGGAACAGCAAGTGATTAGCTCACTCAGCATTGCTTTGTAGCTGATATGTGGTTGCTAGGGGACAATCCAGCTATAAGCAGCCTAGGTAACCCCCTAATCTATATACCAACCTTTCATATGTCAATCAGGACTATCCTTTACTCTTGTTGGTAGTTGCTTCAATTACTTGACTTCAAGCTATGAAAACATTAATTCTGGAGCCGCCCACTTTGCGCTGACAGCAGTTATTTCATTCCCTGAAGTTGCTAAAGCCTCTTTTCCATTAGTACCTACTCGACTCGGATCGACTGGTTTTCCATTACAACCCAGGAGTACCTGTTTGCATGCTTGTCTGTGCATCCCACGACACAATAAATGTGCAAGATGAACGCTACAACAAAGGTGGATATCGAAGCGAATATATACCTGCTGCTCAGTCTGTTGCTTTTCGTCAGACTCAGGGACCACAGCGTTGTTTTTTGTAGCCATTTCCCTTGTCGAGTTTCAAAATTGGCAGTTTTGATTTTCATGATTTTCAAGACTCATCGAGTGACACTACTGACCAGCCAATCAGTGGCATGCAGTCTGACGACGTCAGAATTTAGTACCTATTTGGATTGCTTGGAACCCTAGCCGAGCAGGTACTAAAAAAACGACCTCGTCCCAGGTACTGTGACCTAATGGAAAACCCTGAAAACCGTGGCGAGTTGATCTGAGTAGGTTCTAATTGAAAAGGGGCTTAAATGTCGCTGACTTGTATGGTGTGTGGTCACCACGTCACTGCATCAAGTCATCCTGTGTGAGCGCCCCTTTAACCCTTTCCCCACAAGTAAAGTCATTTTCTTATTAGCCATTACTGTGTAGCTTATATTTGGTAATAAAGTGGCTGTTGGTGACCCTGTTGTACTGGTAGTTGCTTCAAGCTTGCAACCTCAAAGCTGAGATTCGTCTAACTCGTGAGCCTTCATTGGAATTCCTCGGTCCCTGGTCACCGCATGGCTGTGTGCTCTGCGGCAGGACACAGGGTGGTGTGTTAGCTCATTGTTCTTGGTTTTTGTGCTGTTGCATTTTTATCTTTATAGTGACCACTCACTTCTTTTTATATTTATTGTGTCATGTGTTTCTTTTCTGTTCTTGTGTGCTTTCATAAAGTTCCTTGTCCAGAGTGGGAATGCTTATTCTCTTTTATTGGAAATACGTTAAAAAGTTAAACTGTTAGCAGTCGGACGTACCGCCCACGGGACATTGGATGGTTTAGGGGACTAATAGGACTGCTAAGGGGTTAAACATTAAAATACCAGTATACAGCAAAATAATAACATCTCAGTTAAACTCGCCTTGTTAATAAAATCCAAAACTCTGAACCTACGAAATACAATAAATATGTGTTTATTTTCCTAATGTTTGCTGGACTTTGTCAGTCCAACAGTTTCTGCTGCAGTAAACAAATTGTAATATTGTTAGAGACTTAAAGTTGTGTTGAGACAGGAAGTGTTCTCCTTTATTTTGGCAGGAATTTCCTGTTGTTATCTAGCAAGGAAACAGGTGCTTGTATTGCTAAAATCCTCTTCCCCTTAACATTCACAAAGATATCCAGAAAAATACCAAACAAACATTGTGTGATTCTGTCTGTCACTCAAAGTCCAAATCAAACTTCAGCTGCAGATTTTGTCCAGAAGTGTCTGATCGACTCAGTTTGCGTCTCTGTCTTTGATGTAATGTGGCGACAGATCAGCATTCCAGCAGAACAGCAAAACGCCGTCTGATTGGCCCCCAGCTGCCGCTATCTCATCCTCTGGTTTTCTCTCAGAGCGAGAGGGGCTGCTGGAGCATGACATCTGCATTCCTTACCCCCTCCCCCAGTCTCCCCCCCCCCCCCCCCCCAATATCCTGTCGTTCCACACATTCCTGCACATCCAGCTGAGGTCCAAAGTGGAGCTTTAAACTCACCTACGCTCTGTTGAGCCTGCAAGTCAAAGGCTGCATCCGAGTGTGTGCTGGCACTTCTGTCTTTGTGAGGACACTCGGAATAGAAAGTTTTCGTTCCTCATTTGGTGATACAATCTGAAACAGTTTCCATGCATTTCTATCAAAAAGAAATCAGTGTTGTTGGCACAAACCTGGAACCAGCACGGCAACATCAAACTGTTGGGCCTAAAGTTAATATCAGTGCTGTTGGGCCTTCTAGCTTCTGTAAAGGGCAGGATTCAGACTTAGTTCAGACTTAGTTCTTAACTTGCACTGCTTGAAGATTAGCACTCCAGGTGTAACCCCCCCCCCCCCATGTGGCGACCACATGCCACACTGCTGAGAGCAGCCAGCCCGGGTTCGAGTCCAACCCGTGGCCTTCTACCACATGTCTTCCCCTGTTTTCCTGACCCTTCTTCACTGTATCTATCAAATTAAAGCTGAAAAAACACTTTGCAACTCATTTTATGAAAATTTCTCCATAAATGGATATAAGCCTCTAGAATACACTGTCTTCACAAGTGTACTCATAAAGTCAGCACACATTAGTGGAAATGCACTTATTTGCATGAGATTCATTTTGATTTGCAAATCTGCTCTGACGTGCTGCAGGTCCTCTCCGCCGTAGGAACACAGCGAGTCTCCGCAGTCTTTAGTTTTCCCACAATCACCAGTCATCTGGGCAGAATTGACAGAGACAGAGAGGTTGCAGGGGCTGATGGGAGGGGCCGGGCTCCTGTCCAAACCAGTTAAATTCAAACAAACAGGAGTCACTTTAGCATCATGCATTTTTCTTTCCTAGTTTTTATTCTCTCTGTCCTCAGTTGTCCTATTTTTGGTTAGAAGAAAGTCAGATAATTACTGTTTATTTAGACCCAACTACATCATGAACGTGGTAAAAGACCAGAGACATTTTTGACCAGACTGGGGAATTTTGTAAGAAAATGTTGGGACACTTTGGACATCAGACATGTCATTGTTGTGTACTGGACCTCATATTGGATCCTGTGTGTATCAGTGTTGAGCTGCTGCATTCCTCATGTCATAAATATGCTACTGAAGCAACACAAGGTTCTTACTTCTACATCCAACACGAAGTTCGTAAAAAATGCACAAAGCTGAGATTTGCAGTGGTTTAGAGAGGCCAGCTGTGGAAAAAACTGAAACCTCTAGATGTGCATTTATTTATTAATTGTATCTTTGTAAAGGGTGACTTCTGTCTGGCGTCTGGTCACTTTGCACCTTAAACAGACTTTTTGTGAACACACTGTATGTATGTTCATGTTGTGTGTATTATTGTAGGGTCTACCTTACAATATAAAGCGCCTTAAGGCAACTGTTGTTGTGATTTGGCACTATATAAATAAATTTGAATTGAATTGAAATGAAATGAAATGAAATTAAACACTGATTCCAAACCAGAATTCTTCAGATTCAGGAATTGATTCTGAATCGACCTCCATCACTCAAAGGTGAATAATTTATTTAGAACCCATATCTGAAATCTTCTCCCTCTCCTTTCTCTGCAGGCCCTGTTGAAGATGGACTGTCAGGGTCTTGTAGCCCGACTGGTGATGGACTTTGTCCTGCTCACCACTGCCGTGGAGGTAGCCGGCCGCTGGAGGGAGATGGCCGAGAGGCTCGTCAAGATTTCGCGCCAACAAATGGATGCTTACGAGGCACCACACCGTGACAAGAACGGGGTGGTGGACAGCGAGGTATGCGTGTCCTAACATCCCAAAAAAAGATTTCACACAACAACAACTTCAGTTGCAACTGGCAAAAACAACAAATCCATTCTGTACAAGCCTGATCAGCTTTATTATGTTTTAGGACTGAACACTCAGTTATTTGCTTGTCTGTTTGAATCTGTAACATTAAGACATTCATGTTTCTCAGAGGATGAAATCAGCTGACCTAAGCAGCTGAAAGTGTAGGTGATTCCTGACCTGATTATTGTGTTTTAAAGGAACAGTGACACATCTTGAGAAATACAAATGTTTCACTTTTCCCTTCTGTCAAAATCACAAGTGGACCGAGTGCATCTGTATCATTCTGTTAGCCGGTGACAGTTTTCCGACATGTCAGTGTCCCAGGAGATCATGACACGTTTGTTTCTCTTCTTGTCTGCAGGCCATGTGGAAGCCGGCATACGACTTCCTGGTCACGTGGGCAGCTCAGATTGGCGATAGCTACAGGGATGTGATCCAAGAGCTTCACATGGGCCTGGACAAGATGAAGAACCCCATCACCAAACGCTGGAAGCACCTGACCGGCACGCTCATCCTGGTCAACTGCTTGGATGTCCTGCGGAGCTCCGCCTTCAGCCCCTCTGCTCAGGATGACTATGCCATCTGAACCCAAGCATTGCCCCACACCAGCACACCTTGCTCTTCAGGAGCAATTTTTTTTTTTTTGAAATTGCAACGTTTGAAATGCTGCATATCAGCTGTTTGCTCACTCTGAATGCCACTACTGCTGTCGTTCCTGCAGCGTTGCCTTCAGCTCTTCGTGCCCAGGGCAACATCACCAGACAGGCCCCACGTCCCCAGCAAACAATACAGTGCTCTATGGAGCTTGCAGTATTCACAGAGACTCTTTTAATAGCTTCAGTCTTGCACAGTTATGTATTTTTGTACTCTTATTATGGCACAGCAGTTTTTTAAGCAACCATTTGGTTAAGATCTGTGGATTGAATGCCAAGACCGACATTTTTATTAAGAAAAGACATTTTTAGATATTGTATCCTCGTATCCTCACGTGTCAGATCTGTTCTATTTATTTATACATTAAGAAGAAGAAGCATCACCTTTGGTCTGTCTTCAGCTTCTCCCACACTGCAGTCCTTCAAATTTCAGTGATCCAAATATTTTGGTGTCCTCTATTTTCGAAGATCTGAGACTGAAGATTGTACACTCAGTTTTACACTGAAACGCGCAGTGTTTTTGTAGAACATGAATCAATGGATTTATTAGATTTAAACTGATAATTTAGTTTCAGCAAAATTTAAAACTCTTGTGTCAGTTTTAAATCATCTTATGAGTTTTGGCCTCCTAAAAAATGTTATATTGTTTTCTGATTAAATTTATTGTAACAAACTTGACCTTCTAAACATCAATTGATAAATCACCCTCGACCTGAGCCATACTCACTTTGTTCTAGTTCACTCAACTTGTCCCAACCTTTCCAAAACTCAGAATGTCAGACATGGACATCCACAGTCCATGTTTGACTTAGAATGCACTCCCGTTAGGCAATTTGAGCATGCTTAACCCGCCACAGTCCAGTTTGTGTGAGGAGTGTGAATGCATCGTGCCCGCCTGTGGGAGAGAAAGGTCTCTCAAAGAGTCCTGAATTAAAATCTGTGCAAAAATTGTGCAGCAGACAAGATGGTAGTAGAAGTCAAACTGTGGCGGGCTGTTTAAAACATTATTTTCGGACAGAATCAGACAGAATCATTTTTTAAATCAAGTGGGTAGTGTAGTGTTTATTCCCTGCAGATCATTGAAATCTAAGTTAATTTAGATAATCCACTCAAATCTTATGGATCACCACAGCAGGTCTTTTGCCTCTATCTCACCCAAATAAGTGCCTGGAGGCATTTCAAATGAATTGTTAAGTTATGAGACTCTCTTTTAAAGGAACTTTGACAGGATGCATGTGACTTGCATCTGAAAATCTCTGTTTCAGAGTGGACCTCATTTAATTTCAAGTAGCATTTCGTGAGTTCATACATGGCCTTTCTGCAGCCCCTCAGTTCCTCCTCTGTCTGAAACAAGCTACTTTTGCTCTCTGTTCACCTCTTTAAGCCAACTTTCCTCTGATTGGCTGCCCCTCGCAAAGAAAGCATGAACAGCAGATAGGTGGAGCTTCTATCCTCATAGCCTGAGATGTGAGCATATGACATTAAAAAAGCACCAAAAGTAAAAATAAAATGTCTGAAAGAGTATTTAGAGTAGCATGACGCCTGAGCTTTTGACACACAGGGATCCCTTCTACATATGCTGACCTCATTATCTGAAACCTTGGCCGTGTTCATTGTTAGTAACGACCACTTTCAAAGGGAATAGTATAATTGGTTCACCTTAAAAAACTGCTAGGTTTGTGAGAGCAAACTTTGTAACTTTGCTCCAGAATGACTCAAAACAGAATAGATTTAATGAGCTGCATTGCATTGTGCTTTGGGAGAGTGCTTTTGTTCTACTAAACGGTAGTATCATGATGAAGTATGTGGTTCTGCAAGTGGGGTTTAGATGCTAATTTTATTTCAGGATAAAGTAAAGTTGAGGAGAAGAGCACTGGCGAAATTATGGGGAGAAAAGTGAAGCATGTTTAGCCCTAAAAGCACAAAGTAGAGAGATGGAAGGGAGACAGTGGAGATGGGGCATGATTCACTGTGTCCTGCGTAATGCGGACCTTAAACTGACTGGCTGAAATATGGGTCACAGTAAACTAAACAATCAAGAACACTGACTGAGTGTTAGGATTGGTCCATCAAGGATTTATGTCTTGATTAACGATTACCTTGAGCCTGTACCTCCATATAGTAACCAAACTCGCACCTCGTAGTTCTGAACTCTCTCATCTTTGTTATGCAAAATCTGTTTTTTTTTTCTTTCTGTGTTTTTTATAAAGCTTGCCAAAAATAAGTAGAGCTCTACACAAATAACCATGTACAATGTTGAGACCACTGTTGTAATGACACTGTCTATCAAAGCTTCTCTAGCTTTCGTCCCAGTGCTGCATACTGTATAATGTGCTAGTGACACAGCCAGTGTTGAGTTGAAAACCTTTTTTGTGACTGCATACTTTTACGGAAGAGACTCTAAATAAAATGTAAATATTTGTACACGACATTCGTGAGAATTGACTTGCTGCTGGCTGCGCAAACAACCCCCTCACCCCCACCACCATCACCACAGTCAGGAAACTCCTTATCTGAAGCATGGGAGACAGGCCGTCATGTTTCAGGTGTTATCAGTGCTCTGTTTGTGGAAAAAAAAACAATGGCTGAGAAAGTGTGCAGTTGAAGGTGGTGGGGATGCAGGAGAGATTCTGGGTAGTTTCTGGCTATACATTGCAAGACCAAGAGAAACTAGAAGGGAGGCTCAGGTAGCATGAAAAAGGGTCGATGATATGTACCAGTCCCTTTTCTCATTGTTGAACTGCTCTCATTATACTGTCCATTTTCTTAAAGATGGGGGCTGGAGGTTCTTGATCACGTGCATAGAGCAAATCACCAGTGTAGATGACCAGGAAGGCTTTTATAGTTTCCACAACTGCAAATTTACTGGGGTCCACTTGGGTCAGTATGAAATTAATTTTGTCATCAGTTGATGAGTGAGTTTTAGCAGCCATCTGTGAAAAGACCATAGTCTGCAGTGACATGCCCGTCTTGGTAATCAAGTGTAGTCCCCACCAAATAAAAGACTATCTGGACTGAGGATTTTAACTAGAGACTTTAAAGGAGAGGCATATAGAACTCAAAAATTCCTCAACATAAATGTACTGGAGAATACTGGAATTTTAGAATGACACAGACTTTATAAGTATAACTTCCTGGAAAGTTACTTTGGTGGTAAAGGTAACGTTTTTTGATTTTTCTGCCTTTTGCTGTTTTACGTCTCTTTGACATCTGAAACTTAAGCTCATTTTGATAAACTGCTCAGTCTTCCAAGAATGGAAAGATTCTTGTCTTGAAGAAAACTGACAGGCCTGACAGCATGTGTGCAAAAAGTTGGGAGAAGATGGCTAATGCTAAAATGGTGCATGGCAAAGCTAAGTTCTCAGTCAGTCAGGCCTAGATCTTTGTGTTACCAATCTCATTCAGCGACAGCACACAACCTCCAAAACCACTTGCAAACCAGTTGGAGGAATGCAGTTTTTCCCCCCTAGCAACTCGTGGTGAATATGGGGAGTGTCACTGATCGGTGCATGACTCAATTAGCAATTAATTTCATAGCAACCATCAGCAACCACTACATCTGTTCAGGCAATACTTAATTTTGCCTTGCAACTGGTGGTAGCGAGGCAGTTGCCAACCAGTCTCTAGGCCTGTGTGATTGGGCTTAAAGAGTCTCTTGGAAACTGGCATCTCCTTTGAGAGAAACTTTATGGACTTTAACCCAGAAACAGCAAGAGTGATTGTGCCAAGGTGTTTGATCAATTCTGTGAATTGGTGACAAAGAAATTGCAGCTGCCTTGCTAGACCCAGATGCCATAAATGTGCTGTCAAAAATATAATGTTATGCAGAATATTAGACAGAAATAAAGCAGTGCCTTTTAGTTTTAGTTTCAAAGCACATCATGTGCCTTGGGCACTATACTTTTCTAGACCACCAGCTTCTGTGTCTCCAAAATTCACAGGTCATATGTTACTAATCACTTGTCATATATAGTAGTATAGTAGTGTTATGTTGAGTTAAGACAGCTAATTATAGAGCATATAAGCAAAGAGCCACCAGATCTTGACTGAGCAAAAATGAGTGTCTCTGCTTCTTTACTCAGATAATTGAGAGGATTTCCATATAAAAAAAAGGTCTGTAACTTTGTATCTCATTTTCTCTTTCCATTCCTTTCTCTACCCCTTTCTCTGTCTCTCACTCTCTGTGCCGTAAAAGCAAGCAGACATTAATTAAATACACAAATTAATGGAGGAGAAAAAAGAGCCAAAAGGAGTAGAATTAATTACAGTAGGGTATGGGCTGACAGGCTTCAAATCCCTGCCTGGAGTGCCAGTAATGAGCTCCCCAGGGTGACAGGGCTTACAGAACAGCACACAGCTCTGTACTTAGCTTCAAAATCCAGGGATAATCTGTACAAAGAGACGACTCACTCGACATGTTGACTTTTTTTATTGTCTTTTCCGACGTGTCCGAGATGTTCGTTCGCTGGGGTTTAACATTTTTAATCATTGCACTCAATAGGCATAAAGCTTTGGTTTCCAGAGAAACATTCTACTGTTGAATAAGTGGATTATAGTCTAAGCCTCATAAATGCCTACAGGTTCCACAGTATGCACAGGTACGAACCAGAAAAGACATGTTAAAAGCAATGATCTGCTCAATTTTTGCACACTTTGTACATTTTCACTGGGGTTTGAGTCTTTATGTCCTTGCCTCTCTTTCTGCTCATGCTTGCTGAATGATATTTCCATTTCCATAATGCTGCTTCTAAATTTGGACTCATTGTGGTGTGGCACATGATGCAGGAACTCAACGTTCTCTAAAAATGTAGAGAAGCCATCCATTGCCTAAAATCAGAAATCTCTAACCCTTTTTTACCACCAAAAAGTTGGGACACTGTGAAAAATTTAATTAACTTATACACAGTAGAACATAAAAAACTCATTTTGAATTTGATGGCCAGCAACACATCTCATGCAGGTTGGAAGGCAGGGAAAGAAACAACTGGAAAAGTTAGTGGTATTTAAAAAAAAAAAAAAAAGCAATGTAAATATACAAAGACTGAGTATCTCATCATCTACAGCAGCGGTCCCCAACCACCGGGTCTCGGACCGGTACCGGTCCGTGAGTCGTTTGGTACCGGGCCGCAAGAGTTGAGGCTCAGGTGTGAAATGTGTGGTTTTCAGGGTTTTTATCGGTTTCCAGCGTTATTTTGTTATCGTTTTTATCGTTAACTCGGTTTTCCTGGGTCTTTTCACGTGTGTTATGAATAAATCTTCTTTTTTTTCGTGAAAATATTGTTGGGCATAAACCGGTCCGTGGCACAAAAAAGGTTGGGGACCGCTGATCTACAGAACATAATGTCATCAAAAGATTCTGAGAAGCTGGAGAAATCTCTGTCTTCTGAAATCAGTGGTGGATGTTTGAGATCTTTTAGGTCTTCAGGCAGCACTGCATTAAAAACAGACGTGATTCTGTATTGGAAATCACTGCATGGAATCAGGAAACGTTCCAAAAATCTGAAGTAACTGGCCACGAACAGAGACGTAAAGCTATGAAGATGAAGCCGTATTTGAACATGATCCAGGAACAACGCTGTGTTCTCTCGGATAAAGCTTAGTTAGTTAAAATAGACTGCAGCAAACTGGAAAATTGTTCTGTGGTCAGACAAATCGACACTTAGATGGATTCTGTGCGCTTCGGATTACAGAGCAAAGCTTTTAACAAACTTGCGGCTCGCTATCAGCTCTTATTTCAAAAGCCTGCATCTCTGATTATAAGCTGCCAGTTCAATACAGCTTTTCGAATGGGCGGCTTGCATGTGTCTAAAAGCGCCAAAGGTATGTACAGGTTTCAGAGAAGCATGTGCTCCTATCCACACTTTGTTTTGTCTTGTGTATTTCAACAAGACCATGTTAAACTGATTACTGCATCTATTTCAAAAGCATGGCTTCGTAGCAGAAGAGTCTCATCATAATATTGGGAGCATCATGACACCAAACATATAACATAGGTGACCCAGAACTGTTAAGCAGTTAGAATCCCATATCAGAAAAGAATTGGACAATTCTTGGTCCTAACTTTATTCAGACGTGGCTGCCACAAAATTCATAAAATGGGCTAATGATCTTTCAGTCACATAATATTTTAGAATTCTTTTATTTTATTTATTTATTTTTTAGAAAGAGGGGCAATACATATTAATGAACATTTTAACAAATGTAAATATGCCAGATTATAGCCTTGGGCTAATTTCCATCTGCAGACCCTCTGGCAGGTTGGTGTTAAACACAAGTTAGTAAAAACATACAGAGACACTATTTACAGGTCATGTGACAAGGACAAAACTAGTGATCACATTATACTAGAACAAACAATGACAAGGAGAGTGGACACAGAGGACAGTATAGATAACAATAACGGAAACACATCAATTATATTGCACAAACCCCAGTATTGTACATGCCCTGACCATCGTGATATTGCGTTCACCCATTGCACTAACAGTTGTTTCCCTTTTTGTAATACACTTACTCTTTTTCCCGTCCAATATAAAACATGATTATTAAACATGATTACATGTTGGTGTGTCCCTCAGCCGCCCTTTTAAGTGACTCTTAAAGATGGGTAGACTTGTACTTTCCCTCACTGACAGTGGGAGACTATTCCAGAAGCTCACTCCCTGATATGACAGAGCATTCTGTGAAAAGGTGGTCCGCCTGAATGTCAGTTCACAATCACCTCTAACAGTGGCTCGAGTCAGTCGAGACCCGGCAACACTGCTAGACTTTTGTTTAATAAAATCACTCATTGGTGGAGGCGCCAGACCATGTATAACTTTGTATATTAGACAGGCAGATTTAAATAATTTGAAATCTTTCTAATATTCTTAAAATGGTACGTTTTCTCAGCTTAATCATTTGATATGTTTCCTGTGTACTACTATGAATGGAATGAGATCATGCCATTCGGTCTGTAAACATGACAGATCAAAAAGTTTTGAGATAATACTGATAAAACTTTGTGTAGAGTGGGCTCATGTTAACAATCTATTACAATTTGGTGTACGTCCACCAAGGTCTTAAAGGTCAACTTATTGGCAGAAAATAGACAAACAGCCTCATAACTATGTGAAAGAACAGTTGGTAGCATTCAGAGGCAGGTTCAGTTTCAGGCAATGCATTCCTTCTATACAAAGTAAGACATAACTGTGATCTCTAAACCCCTTCTTATACAATAAAGACTGAAAACTATAATTATAACATTATGGAATTTGTCACAGATAAAGGAATGATACACTAATACACACTAATTTAAAAATCCAATGAATGAATCCAACAAGTTCAAGTCCATCCAAACCACACTCCTCAGACATTTTATTAGCTGTTCCTGGCCAACCGATTGTTAACCTAAATATCGAATCAGCAAATCATATGGTATCAAC